CAAAACACAAAAGCAGAGAAAAACAAATTCTTAGACTTCATTTTTTTTTTTTTTTTAAGTAGACAATCAATGAAAGATCAAAATAATATCCTAAAAGATAAATACTGGTATTCCCAAGTTTTTATCCAGGAATTAGTGCTTAATTCTGTAGAAATGAAGTTTATGCTAAGGCACTTCAGTAGTTAGCAAGAGGGATCATGAGCCAGGAGTATACATGGTTCCGTGATATACATACACATATATGCATTAATATTCATGGTTCCGTGATATATATACATACACACACGTGTCTGTCTGTCTGTCTCGGAACCACGAATATTAATGCATCATACTTTTCAGAAGCCAAATCCTACATTCCTAGCTGCCTACGCAGGGGTGTTATCAGAATTAACATGTTATAGGAGTTTCAAATACTCAAAATAAGCTAGTCATGCAAAAAGTCATTATTATAATATTCTAGTTATGAAGAAATTAACAGAAACTGTCAGATTGAGGTTTAGCCCATATTAAAAAGAAGTAAAAAAAAATAAGGACAAGTTTAGCACTTCCAATGAATCCTACCCCCCTAACCCCCACCCCATCACAGGGAGTCAGCTTGAGTGTTTCTGCTGATGGCTACTCTGGACCCCGAGAGACAATCCCTTGGGTAGACATGTCCCAAGCCATTAAAGGATTTTACAGATCAAAACCAAATGCATAAACTCTACCAGGAGATGGTCTGGCTGCTACTGCAGGTCCCACATCTCAGCACAGGTGTCAAGTGCTCATAGTAGAACACCCTGTTAAATAAGTGAGCTGCTGTATTCTATGCCTTTCTCAGTTCCCAAATGGCTATAAAGTATAGGGACTAGATGATAATTCACTCTAATACAAGATGAAATGCTGTTTGATCAGGGTTGTCAGAAAAAGAAAAAAAAAAAGGCTGCAGTCACTTAGCTAGGCATAGTTGGTGAAAGTCATCTTGGTTACTATTATAATATTCCAAGTTGCTGTTACAGATGTTGAATATGACTAACTATACAGAGAAACTGTTAAACTAACATAACGGTTATCAAATGCACAAACTTAACTAAAGATTTTTTTTCTGAGATTCCTCTCAGTTTTAGGATTAGGACAGACTATTCCTATTTAAATTTGATAGGAGGATCACCTTCTATCCTACATCTATTTATCCAACGTGTGTTTAAATAGTCAAGATGTTAACTCTTAAAGGTTGGGGGGTGGGGCTAGAATGTAAAAATGTCAGCAGCCCTTGCCACCTAGTGCAAGGCTCAGATTATTCTAAAGAGAATGAGAATCTGTGCGTCATTTATAAAGATCTTAGTATCCCAGAACACTGCTGAAGGAAATGGAAGACTTGCTCACACTGTATTCCATCAACTGAAAGGAATCTCATTTGAATGAAAGAAATAGCTAGATTATTTAAAAATACAACGAAGATCATACCTTTGGTAGAATATGCTTCAGCAATCATCCGCAGCCTATAAGGTGGTACAGCAACTAGTTGCAAGTCATCAACTCCAATCCTGGCATATATGTTAAGGGCTTCTTTGTAGTCACCTTCCACATAATTTAACTTGGCCATAGTTAAGTTGGCTTCTTGTAAGAATTCTGGCTAGAAAGAAAAAGATTAAATTACAAGTTTTCCCCATTGATCTGCATCCTAGTAATTTCCAATGTACTGTAGAAACCTCTTCAGCAAAATCTTCTAATTCACGGACTAGGGTCTCTATTATTTTGCAAAAATATTTTTACAAAGAAAAAGAAACAAAATGAAGAGTTTTTTTTTCTTTCAGTAAGGTGAACAAGAAAGTCAACTCCCCCGAAAAAGGAACCATCACCAAGCTACAGAACACAAATTATATCATCATTAAACACTGGTCACATTGCACCTGGAAAGGGTTATCTGTATTATGTAAACACTCAGGAACTTGTTCAAGTCAAGATCCTCTCTTGCTACATGCTATTTTCCCACTTCTCCTTTTACAACACATTAGCATCACACATTGTCACCCCCAAGTCTTTAGTCCAACATGACAAGCAGAGGGAGACTATTCTGCCAATGTTTGATTTCAACCAAAATGTATGTGTAACACGTAAGTGCCTCTTCCCTCCTCCCCGTCCCCCCCATTTCCCAAACTGTTTCTCAGCTTAATAATTTTAATTTAGCAGATTTCTCGTAAACACCATGTGAGAAGAGTACTCAAAAAGGATTCATTGACAGAGTACTAAGTTATCTCCTGAGTCCAGGGAGGACATGCCATGCAAGTTATAGAGATGGCAGTAGAGGACAACAAAGAAGTGTGAGCCTGATCTGGAGAGACAGCAGACTATGCAGCCTGCAACTGTGGTTATGTAGAGAAAAACAGAGTTATCAAATACCTGAAAAACGAGGATAAATATCCTACATCTACCAGTAAACTGCAAACCAGACAAAGCATTTCATCTGAACAGCAAAAGACTAGGCAGAATAGGCTCCAACTAGACTCAAGGACAAAACTTCTTATATGGTTCTCCTCCAAAACAGGAGAAGTCTGCAGTGTTGAATATATACATTAGCTTTATTTTCTTAATACTTTATTGGGGAAGGAGATACCACAAGGCTGGTCTCAAAAACATATGTGAAGGGCTTTGACAATTAAATACAAAGGGCTACAGAAATGCAAAGTTATTAGTCTTTGCAATAATGTATTTACATGGAGAAATGCTGGTGATAAATAACCTCTTTCATAGTTACATCTGAAGTTATGATTTAAACATTGCTGAGGCCAACTTTCTTTTACTATTTCTTTAAAATGGGGGTTATCAACCAGGGGTACAAGGGAAGGCCCCAGGGGGTACCGGAAGCAGTGCAGGGAAGCAGGGACACCAGCACTTTGCGCTTTTGTTTTCACCGGCACTGCCAACACTACCAGTTTTGCTAGCGCGTGGGGGGACCTCCCTCCCTGCTCATCGATTGGCCGCCAGGGACTCTCGAAAACCCCTGCTTTAAAATTGACACAGAAAACTGGACCAAATAAAGGGCGGGGGGAAAAGGAATAACATAGGGAAACCTGTAAAGACTGAAGCTACTAAATCTCAAGATATTAAAGTATTTTCGAAACAGATTTGTTCAGCAAAAAAAACTTCCTCCAGCCTCAGAAAATTTCACTCTTCAATTACATTCTAATTAATCCTTAATTTTTCCTTCAAACTTCTGTAAATACCTTTAAGTTTCCTCTGTCGAGAGCTGCAGTGAGATGTTTTCTAACCTCAGTCAGTTTTGGCCAGGGACCATGGGGACTAGTGCCCTGTTTAAGAGGATTTTCCTTCAGGAATTGTTCTAATTTGGACTCTCCAAAGAGAAGCTCTGCCATGTCATCTATAAAGGAAAGAGAGGAAACAGTTATTGAGTATTGTGGGGTGGCAGTCTTCATAAAATTAGCAGTCACTTTATCCCACTTCATCCAATTTTTAACACAGATTCCGCAGCAAGCAAACAACAATGCAGTCAGTTATTTTAGGTTTGGACTTCAAAATGCCAAACAATTATCAAATATCTATCACCATATTAAATGTAGTGCATGTTATAATCATGGCTTAGATCAGGGGTGTGCAAAATACAGCCCGCAGGCCAAATCTGGCCCACAGTGGATCCTTCGTTCCCATCTGGCCACGACACTGCCTGGCTGTGGCGTGTCCTGCCACGGTTACAGCAGCTGGACTGCCTTTCTAGGCAGCCCAGGTGGCGGTACCTCCTTTTGGCTGCTGCTGCCACTGCTGGCCCTAAGCCCACAGTCCCAATAGGAACCATGCACAAAGCACTGACTGGCACACACTGCGCCTGCTCCAGACTCACCCATCTGAGCTGAGCGGAAGCATCAGTAGCAGCCGCTAAGCAGAAACTGTTGCTTGGCTTGGGGGAAAAGTGGTCCCTCCCCCTTGCCAGGCAGTTCTTGCTGCAGCTGCACGAAGCCCACACCACACCCGGCTGCCCTGCATCTCTGCCACCACTATCCCACAGAGCAGACAGGAGGTGGCGGTGACAGCCGCAGAGATGAAGGGCAGCCCAGCACAGGCTCTGGGTGGCTGCAGCAAGAACTGCCCAGTAGCTGTGACAGGGACAGGCTGCTTTTCCCCTGCGCTGAGCAACAGTTTTTGCTTGGCCACCACCGCTGCTGCTGCTCACCCTGGGTGCGCAAGTCTGGAACAGACGTGAGGCGCACTGGGCCAGGGCTGTGCACCAGTACTGCAGGGTTAGGACCAGTGGCAGCAGCAGCTAGAAGAAGCCACCACGGCCTGGGCTGCCTACAAAGGCAATCCAGCCACAAAGCCGCCCCAGCCCCACTGTGTGCCTAGGGGTCAGCAAGACAAGTCAGTCAGGCAGTGCACAGCGGGCATGGGGCAGGGCTGGGGCTGCGCAGGCTCCGGGCTGTTGCAGGGTGGGGATGCATGCTGACTGGCTCAGAAGAGGGGAGGGCCAGGACGTGCACGTACGCATGTACGCAGGGGGCTCCCACGCACAACCCAGCATACCCTCAAATCCTGCCCCACAAACCCTGCAACCATACCCTCCCCCTCCTCCCTGCACACACACCATAAACTCCATCCCCCATGTGCTTCTGATGGGGAGTACCGCACCCTTTCACACACGCCCAGCCACCATCCCCCTCCATACACCCCACAGCACCCCCCCACAAACCCCCTTTCCCACCTACATACACAAATACCCCGACACCCTCCCCCACTCTTACATACACCTACAGCCCCTAACAAACCCCACACCCACCTCCACCCACATATACAAAAGTAAGGGTTCATTTTGAGCTATTATGCAATCACCTCTATATACACACACAAATCAGGACAAAAATATTTTTTAAATAGAATTAAATTCAGTCAGCCAGGTCTGAACGCTCGCGTAGGTTTTTAGACA